GAGCCAATGCTACTGTATGTGAATGCATGAGGTTCAGATAGCTGTGTATGCTGAGAGCCAAGGACAAGAGCCAGAATAAGTCGCTTATTTATTCTGTCCATGTTAAAACATTGTGTGTATGAAAACTCCTAAGTAATTGAATACAATTATGTGGTTTGTTTATGTTTAAAGATTCTATATTACACAAAAAAATGACTCTTGTGAACTTTAAGCCATGTTAAAATGTTGATACCTTGTGTTTGGTTTTATTCACACCTGTTTGAGTAGTCCTTCATTATTTACAATTATTATAATCTCCAAAGATCAAAATGCTCTGTTTCACCTGGTGATGTCATGCAGTGGTAGTTTTCAAGTTAACTGATACCTTTTACTTTTAGTTTGGTAGAGATTGGCAGTTCCAGGGTTGAAATTATCCAAATGATTCTAGTGAAGGTGTATAGTTTTAAAACACAGTAGAGTGCACTTACCATATTACCACATGACATTAAAAGGTGGAAAAGAGATTTTTCAGTTTGAGAGAAGAAGCCTAAATGTGCAGGATTTGTGTGTTAAACAGGTATGAATGAAACAAAACTAGGGCCGGGCACATTAACGTGTTAATTTTGCATTAACTAATTAATTCATTATCGTCGACAATTATTTTAAGGCCGTCAGCAGTTTTTATTATTTAGATTGATGTCTTAATCGCACTCGAACTCATGCGATTAATACAATTAATATTTTTGATTTCTGCTCAACCCTAAACAAAACATAACTTCAGGTATGTTTGTGACGAGGAAATAACATTATAACATAGATCAGAAATTTGTGTAATATGGGCCCTTTAAAGATGCACCATGTAACTTTTCTGGAGAAGGATCCATGAAGATGTTTTTGTGTGGTGCAAACAGGCCGTGTTACTAGTCAGATGGAAAGGCAACCTCAATCACAGTAAGATTATATGTTTTTTCAAGTATTTTTTGCCAATAAAAACACATGTAATAGAATAAATGGAGCTCAACAAGAGCTCACCTACATTCTCAGTTCCCCCTTCGCAATGCCTTTGAACTCTACAAATTTTAATTTTAAATGTCTATGGGGAAGAATTAATGGAAAATGTACTTCCAGAACCTAAGCAGGTAGTCACTATTGAGCTTCATGAAAGATAAGTTAAATTAAATGCTATACTGTGGATCTTCGTAGGACAAGCAGATGGTCAATCCTCTTCCAAAAAATGCACCTGTATTTTTTTTTTTTTTTTTACTTTTTCACAACCATTTTCAAATTACTCCAGATTATTAGCACTGACTTGATCAACATCAGGTAAGTGTTATCAGTTGTTTTGTTTTATTTTAATGTAACTTCCTGATCCCTGAAGTCAGCCAATTGCATTCAAAGCCAGAAGAGTCCTCTCCTAGCAACTTGTCCCTCTACGCATATGTTTGTGCGCTAGAGCCCGCTCAGCACATTTACAGTGAGACTGCAAATATACTCAGGCCAATGCCCCGATATGCCCTTACGCCAACTTTGTACCTTAGGTGTCTAAAATACACCCAAGCATCCACATAAGCAGCAGAACAAAATAACAACAAATAGTGCCAAAGCATACGGGATTTTCTTGTTTATAGTAGACGTGAGAAAACAGAGCGGAGTAGGAGCCCAGATGGCAGCAGAACTGAATGAACACAACAGCCTCAGACGAAGCTCAGTATAAAGCGCTTGGGACAATGACTCATAAAGACTTGTCACTCGAGCTAATGCCTATTCTCTCACTCCGCATAGAAAAACTATTGGATCTTTGCAGTCAGTTTGAAAGTGAACACTTTGCATAAGTATGAGATATTGCATAAACTTTGTCCATAATTATGAAACAAATGGAGAATAATAGTGCATATCACAGAAATCAACATGTATTTATCTAAAACTGTTTTAGTTTAATTTAATTGTGTGTGTTGTAAACTGAAATCAAATGAGGGTACAGAACAGTCATAAAAGCCAGAATGAGAAAAATAAACATGATGCTTTAAAACAATTCAACTATCCTTCAGAGAGGGGAGTCTATTATCTGGTGAGTTTGCTATGACATTTAAGACATGCATACTTTTTCAATTGTATAAAGCAATCTTTAAAATAACATTCATGCTAAATTATAATTCTTTATATTTGATTCCCACTTGTTCTTTGCTTTGGTCCAGTTTGAGCCATTTAACCCTAATGTAGACTCAGTTTGGTCCTGTTCTAATCCTGACCTAGTTCAGATTTAGGTTCAGTAGCTGAACTTCCCTACTGCACTAACATATTTTAGGTTTTGCAACAGAAATTATGATTTTATGGAGAGACCTGGAACCAAACCTCGGCTAATGGGCCTCCTCTTGTTCCTGGCTACTGCATGTCTTTGGATGAAGGAGGAACCTACCCTTATATGGTATGTAAAAATGATACCTAAAGGCTATTTTCTTGATTATTTAATATATTTCTTCATAGTAGTTCTTTCTATGTTTCCTTACTTTAGAATCTCTAGGTAAATTGATCTGCTTGCAACACAGACTACACTTGGTAATTGCCCATATATGGCAATAGGACATAGTGGACCTCTAGTGTGTCAGCTTTATACACTTTCTTTGTTTATATAAATGCCATCAAAGAACGTCACCAGCTCTTTTCAGGTGAAATCCGATATTTGTGTGAACCTTTCTATTCTCTGCATGGGCACTCTGGTGACTCGATTGGGCAAAACACAAAATGTACTCTCTAAAAACACTTTCAACCCTATTCTTATACTTGTGTAGGTGTTATGCCCTTTACTGTCTTCTTTGTTCCATTTTCACTGCAGGCTCTTTGTATCTGTTCTGTTGACACACATTCACTATTTTACATTCATCAGCGTGTTTTATTTTCCATGTTAGGAGGCTGACCCAGCTCTCTACGAGACAGCAGGATCAGTGGAGGAGTGGGGAGGAAATGGATTATGCTGTGCTGTGAAAGAGTAGCATGACTAGAAGTTGGCAAATGACAACAGAATATTGAATGTTTTTATATTGGGGACTACAGTAGATCCTCCATTATTGCATATTTGAATTGTGAGGAAAGCAAAAGCATGGTTCAAGGACTGAATTTAGGACTATATATCGCAGAGAAAATAAAGTAGTATGAATTGAGATTATAAAACCTTTTATCTTTAAGATAACTGGATTTCAGCTTTGATACTGACAACCCAAATGAAAGATTCAGGTGAGGCTCATTCTGCTTCCTGGTTAGATCATCTTGAAAGCTAAAACATTAGCAACTTGGCTACATCTAATGTCTAATGGTTTTGTTATTGAGAATAAATCAGCATCTGTATCTGTTATCTGTAAGAGCAATATTTGACCATGTATCTGGGAACATAGATAGGTCATGTTTCTGAAATTTGAAATCATAATGCTGCATATATTATACCTTGAATGTAATACCCAGAGGCAACAGGCATCATAGCACTGTCAAAAGTCAAACCAACTTGTTATTTTGCACATCCAACATTCTACACTGTTTTACCACACATTTCACAACACACAGTACAAAATGTTCACCTCTGCTTCACTCCACAGTCCAAAAGTGCATGTGGTTGTTGAGACATTTCACACAGGAGTACAGGGTTTCCTCATGCCTGTGCAAATGCTGAGCTCGGCCCCAGGATAGTGACAGCCTGGGTTTGTTTGGCCTGTTCTTTTGCACTGCAAGCGCTATACAGCCGCTCTGTGGGGATTTGCCATGCATTCCATTCCACAACAGCAGTCATGTGTTTTCCAGGAAGGACACAACATCAATATTTCAACAGTTTTCCTTCCTATATGAAGCTCAATGGCTGTGGTGGAGGTGTGAACAGACAAGAGGTGTAGGATGAGTTGATAAGCATGAAGTTTTTAGAGATTGTATCATATAATTGTGGTGCATAATGTGAATATTGTGAAGATATTATTCAGAAGAGAGTTGTATTTGTGGTTATGTGTCTTGGAATCTGAGAAAGTATTTAATTCAGTAACATAAACCTAGAATATAATTTATTTATTTTTCTGTTGACTAATACATTAAGGCCACTTATAGTGTTTTACCCAATTGATTTTTCTATCACAACCTACATTAAATTTACCTTGGAAATGAATAACTAGAATGGCAGTCCTGATGCTATTATTATTAAAACATCTATATTGCACAAAGTTGACTCATGTGAGCTTTTAGCCATGTTAGAATGTTGTTTCCTCATCAAAAACATACCTGGAGTTGTATTTCGTTTCATCCACACTTGTTTGTGCAATCCTACATGATTAATCTGTCTGCATCTCCAAAGTTCAAAATGCTCTGTTACACCTTGTGATGTCATGATGTAGTAGTTTTCACGTTAACAGCTCCTTTTGCTTTTTGCTCAGTAGAGATCAGCAATTCCAAGGCTAAACTGACTCAAATTACTCTAGTGAAGGTGTATGAAGATTGAAGTACTTCCTGTATTACAACATGCCATCACAATGTGTTTTCTGTTTGACAGAAAAACACAGCCTAAATACACCGGGTGTTTGTGTGTTAAACGTGAGAATGAAACAAAACACAACTCTGAGAGTGTAATGAGGAAACAACATTAAAACATAGATCAGAAAATGGCATAATATGGGCCCTTAAATTATTATCAAATATAACTGCATTATAAAATGAATAGATAGATAATGTGTATATTTGAATTTAAATAAATAGCATTACTTTTCATAAATATTTTCTGATACCACATCCATCCTCTGACAGTGATAAAAATGAATGGAGACACGGAGCTTGATCCATCATTGTGAAAAATGCTGTGAGCATATTGTCAGTGCATGTTCTCATTTGAGCCTTGGCTAGATTCTCTGGTCAACTGTTCAATATCTAAAACACAGATGGAGATGTCCCCGAGGAAAGACAATCTGGCTTGATACTGTTTGTGCCCAAGGACTTTAACTCAGAAACATCGTTCACACTGACAGATGAAGTAAAAAATGAAGTACAATCAGTAATTACTCTTTGTATTGTATTTGTGATTTTCAAAAGCATCTATCACACAGTTTCACACCAACAGCTTTGTTACACGAAGCAAAACAAGTAGAAAGAAAACATATTTTATTTGACAAATCATGTATTATTTTGCCCAACACTTTAATTTGAGTGTCTATGCCTGCAGAGAGTGGTCTAACATATTGAGTCAGATATCAACAGCACTTCATCACACCAAATCACAACACTGCGGATTTCAGAGACGTTTCTGAATACATTTATTATGAACTGTCAGATGGGACTGCCAAGCCTGATACTTGTAGAAAATGAAAATCTACACCTCATAACAAACAAGACCTTTGCTATCACATGAAGTTTGTGCAGAATCTGTTTTGAGTTCATTTATTGTAAGTGCCATCAGTCTGAGGTATATGGTGTGCAGACCAGTCCTGAGGCAAAAATTACCCTTGTTCACTGAATGCGTATCAGAAACTACTATCCTTGCTACAGTGGTGACAAAAACACTGGGTTTTGGCTGGCTACAGGCTATTGATTCATATAAAGCGACTCTTATACATATTTTTACACCATGGTCTGCTATGATGACACATTACTTTGGGAGACAACAAATAATCACTGAAGAAATGAAAACTTGACAGAATATTTTTCAACAAATCACCCATCCAACTCAAGTAATTAAAATACTGAAATTCAATACACACACTCTTGCAGCCTTTTCATGTCCACACACAATTACTGTTATAATGTTCTATGAAATCCTCTCTTTTTGGGATCATCATACACTGCTAGTCTAACTTCAAAGCACTTTTCTGTATTATGTGGCTATATCATAAAAACAATTATCCATTCAAAGGCCTGGCTGAACAGACAGACTATGGCACATCAATAGCCACATGAACACTTATAATAAAAAGGAGGGAAAAGCTAAGTTTGATTTTTGTAGTACACTTCTTTCTTTTGCAGTGCTGTTCATGGCCATGGCAGATAAGATGTCCCATTATTTGGTAATTTAGTCCAGAGGAGCAGGAGGATAAAGACAGTCTGCTCGAGAAAGAGGCGATGTATACAATAGCACTAGTGTAACACGGGGACTGCAATTAGAAGCCCTTTCATATATATGCCCCTATATGTGTTGAAATTGCCAACACAACGGACTCCTCTATTAAAATGAGCTCTTGGATTCTGTATTGTGCTTCAGGCAAATGCGTAAAACAGGAGCGTACATAGGAGGTGTCAGTCTTTGCTGTGGATAAAGACTGGGGACTATAACTAGTTGTGATGAAGCAGGGCAAAACTCTGGACCAGAGGAGGCAGGTGGATTGGGGAAAAGGGTAAAGAATGAGCTTCAAGGACAGATGAATTTCTGTTCACAGGGAGCTGTAGTACACACCTACGAGACATCTACTGGAGCAGAGCCTTCTGAGTGAATGGAGAGGACATCTGGAGGCAGAGGGGCACTTGGAGATGTATAGGGTTTGCTGGGGGGCCAGGGAAAACAAAGTCAGTATCTCACTCACGGTAGAACACATATTCAGTGTAGCTGGTCCAGATCTTGTCATCGGTCTGCTCGTGGGCAAAGGCGCAGGTCCCAGTGGAGTTACAGGCCACCATGTGGAAGCCTGCATCTGCTAGCTTGTCAAAGGCCTGCTCCAGAAAGGTGAACTTCAGATAGTAGCGAGATGTGTAGCGCTCAGGGGGGCGGTCAGGGTCCCGACTCTCATTCAGCGTCTCTCCGAAAACCTCTTTGGCCAAAGAGGTTTTTCCACACACCATGATTCGAGCCACGCGTCGGAACTTGGCATCTGTGTGGCTGTCCCGACCCAATGTGTACGAGCCTCTGTAGCCAATGGTGATGAAGCCTGAGCGTTTGCCATCCATGGCACTGGGCACAAGGCTGGAGCAGGCAGCAGCTGCACCCAGAGAGCTTAAGGTACGAGCCGTGTCTATGCCTGGGGAGGCATCCTCCGGGTCACTCTGACAGCCTTCATCCCCAAGTGAGTTCTGCTTACTGATTTTAGGAGCCAGGAGCTTGACTAACTCAGGGAGGTTAAAGAACTCAGCCTCTCTTTGCAGGCGCCCACGCTCTGGGAAGTGATCGGGTAGAACGAGCTGCTGGTCCCTCATGTAGTCCAGGATGTACCGAAACAGAAAACCATCTCGGTCAACAAAGAAGCGTCCCTTAGTGTCCCGGGCCAGTCCTTTGGAGGATTTCTGAGTGAACATCTCCCAGAGCAGAGAGTCCGGCACGCTAGTGAGGGTAGAGTAGCGGGTTATGTACACTTGACCACCAACATTGAGTTCTATGATCTCTGGAAAGGGTACTTCCTCTCCAGATATGCCACTATCTGGTAACGCCATGGTGCACACAGTTTACTAACACCAGCTTTAAAAACTTCAGTCTTTAAGTAGCTTTTACAAACGCCGTAGATCCTGCAGCAGCGGAGTGTAGGAGACAGACAATTGCTCAGCGCGCATAAATTTGCTCAGCCCACTTTTACAGTCTAACCAAGCAAAGACGCCCGCTAACCTAACTACAGGGTTGTCCCATAATAACTATAACATTGTGCGTGATTGCTCAGGCAGCAACCTTAATGTTCTTTTCTAAAGAACTCTTGCAGTTTAATGAAGAAACTCTGTTTTCCACATTAGTTCCCTTAGCAATACGCGTGCCTTTTGCACAACAGTCCATACCGACCTCTCTGCTCTAAATGCGCACAGGATCATGAGGTCCAAACTTCAAAAAAGCAATCCATAGTTTGAGTGCTCAGTCGGTGTCCCTGTGTTGAAGAGCCACGCGACGAAGAGGATGTTCCAAATATAGTGTGACAGGAGCAGAGTGCACAGCAGCTTCTCGAGCGTTTCCATCACTTGCTCCTCAGATTTATACCCGAAGTGCCTGCGTTCCGTCCCCACGACGCGCTCTCGTGTCAGACTCTACCGCTGCTACTGCAATGTAACGCTGTGTACGGTAATGATATTCAGCCTGACGAACCACGCCCACCATAGTGACGCACTTCTGTTGTCTTTGGTCCCTGTCAAAATAGCCTGGCAAAGTAACAAGCTTAAGTGAATGGCTTGCTTGGAACAACTATATAGGTCTACTACTGAACAATAAAGTAACATCATTCATGGTTTTAAATGTCAGGTCATTAATCAATAAACTAAATGTTCTTAGGACATCAGTAGGCTACATTAATGCTGAAAATGCAGTGGTTGGCGTAACATCTGTCATAAAATCCCCACGTGTACTTAAATATGGCATATTCATTCATTTGAAACCTGTGTTTCGGGCAGAGCTCACCGCTGCGATTGGATATCGCAGTGTGCCAATCCAAAAGGGCAATAGTGACACCAAGCGGTCACTCAGTGCACTAATCACTTCAATTCGGATTGTGGGGCATTCTACTGAATAAATAAATGAAAAAATAAATACAAATTTCAATTCATTGAAGAGAAGGCCAGTTATCTAGATTTCACATGGTAGGTTATTTCGATTAAGTTGTTTCTTGTGTGACTAAGAGTGGTCCTTGTCTTATTTTATTCTTCCTAATAACAGATTGCCATTTGGATTAGATTATTCATGATTGGTGGGGCAAGCGTTTTGACCTTCACTAAAATTATTCAGAGCTAGCCTGAATTTAAAAAAATAAATAAATAAATAAAAAAGTATAATATTTTTTAGAACAAGTAACCAAAACCATCTTTCATAGAGAAAATGTCACTATGGTTTTAAAGAGCCATGCATCTAAAGACTAGCGAAGTTCTCAAAATTGACTTTCTGATATTCTGAAAATAAAATTTATGTATGTGCCTTTGTATTGATCTGTGCATTTTCAGCAAGTTTGCACTGACAGTTGCAGCACTAAGTGATTTAAGAGAGATGATTCTGTAAAAATGACAAGCTGCAGTTTTCATCTGTTTTCTTTTTATCTGTGAGACAGTTGGGGCACATCTAAACTCACAGGTATAGCCTCATTACCTCCTGGCTAAGACATCATATATCTCTGAAGACAGGTGACTTGGTGGGCGACATGACTGATGTATGGACAGGGATATGACAGTCAGGCGTCATCCAAATACCACTCACACTGGTGCATCCATTTGTGACTAAGCAAACTCATGGTCAACTGCAGAGTAAACTTTCATGTGTTAAGTAAAGAGACAAGTTAAGACATATAAAAACATAATTGTTTATTTTGGTTTTCCCCACCAGTAGTTTATCCACGATTGGACTGAAAATGACTAAGGTACACGAAAGGGGTTTTAATATATACCACAACTGATGTCATGGAGACAGTATACTGAATGTGCATTATACTTTAAAGACGATGTCAATATGGTGACCACTTTGTTTAAGGGAATTCTCCCATGTGTGGGACAGGAGTACATGAGATCAGGGAGTGGGAAACATGTTAGTGAGCCGCACAAACAAAACACAAACTCAATCACTTAGTCATGTAACAAAACCATCAATTACAATTAGTTAAGAACAAGTATGATCAGAGAGAATGTGCCCACGAGATGCAACACGCAACCTTCAGCCAATCACAAAACTGTAAAATGTATTTTCAGGGCAAATGTAAATGTGTGAAATCTAAGGGGTTTTAAAGTGCTTTCTACTGACTTGAAACATAAATACAAGGAGAGCGGTACTGAAACAGCATGTTTGAGAATTAAAATCAAATTGTCTGATTACCAATGGTTTATCAGTGCTTAAAAATAAACAGATGTAAGGCATGATTGAAAAAGAAAAAAAGCACCTCTGTATTACTACCATCACATATATGTACTTAAAAGTGGCAGTCAATTCCAACTTCATGAATAAGGTTTACACAATTGGTCAAATTCATATATTACACCTAAAGTGGACAATATAAATACTATGAACAAAATATCTGTGATACTCGTAGCAGCAACAGACTTTTGACTGGGAAAGGCTGCTAAAGATATGCTTTCAGAAATTGGCAGACCTGCATCTACTGGATGATTATTCTGTCATTATAAACTTTATAATACTACACAATTTAAATTACTGAGATTTTATGAAAAACCCAAAGTTGGTTTTAGTCACACATCTTTAATGATGTGTTTTGTCTTGACATCACTGAAAACCCCAGGTTCTTAGTTGGAGATGGATTTGAAGGCATTGAAAGTGTTATGTAATGCTGGTTAGTAAAGAGATACTAATTGGTACTATCAAGGTTCATTTCCTGTAGTCTTTCCTCCTTCTGCACAACTTACATGATTAAAAAGCACTGCTATCTGACATAGGATACAGTCATCATCTTGCAGCCTTTCAGCTGAGTGGGTATAAAAATATAGACATTTCAAACCCTGAATATATGTTCTTAAGAGATTTTCTGCAAGAAAACAATTTACACCTGTCCCACCCAGTGTACACCAGTCTTATTAGACAGCACTGTCGCCATAGAAAATGTGTTCTTGTATTACCAAGGGAACGAGGTGAACACCCATTACAACACAGAACGGCAATTACAGTTGCTGCCTTCATCAACAACCTATATATGTATATATATACGCATGTCCATTTCTTTGTTAATACGCTAAAATGACCCGCGCTGTAGACACAGGTGGAGTGTTTATAAACAGAATATTACATTAACATCTCTTTGTGATGTCTGGCTATGTGCTGGCTCTTCTCTGACGGCCGCCGAAAGCCCTTGGTGCAGTAGTCGCAGCGGTGGGGGTAGTCCTTGGTGTGAATAGAGATAACATGGCGTTTGAAACCTGAAGCGTCCGTACTGTTGTACTCACAATACTGGCACTGATAAACCTTTCTACCACTATGTGTCTTCATGTGCTTCTTCAGCTCGGCTGGCTGTCGGAAGCCTCGCCGGCAGCGCTTACATTTAAAAGGGAGGTCCTTAGTGTGCAAGGACAGAATATGGCGGCTAAGGGTAAAGGTGTCGGGGGCATTAAAATTGCAATGACGGCACTGGTGCACCTTGTTGCCTTTGTGTGTCTCTGCGTGTTTCTTTAACTCTGAGGGCCTGTGAAAGCCTTTCTCACACACATCGCACTGATGGGGGAAGTCCTTGGTGTGAACAGAGATGATGTGTCGTTTCAGGTCACTGGAGTTGGTGCTTTTGTGTTCACAGTGGGGGCACTGATGGGTTTTGTGGCCTTGTACCATCTCTATGTGGCGCTGCAGCTCTCGAGCGTCAGCATAGGCCTGAGGGCAGTGGCTGCACTTGAAGGGCATGTCTGCTCCGTGTTTGCTCTTGATGTGAGTCTTTAGGTTGGACTGATCCGCACAGCGGAACTCACAGTGCGGGCACTGGTATGGCTTCTCGCCTGTGTGGGTGCGCATGTGTTTCTTCAGCTCTGACGGGTGACGAAAGCCTTTGGCACACTCCACACAGACATGTGCAAAGTTTTTACTGTGTACCGCCAGCAGGTGGCGGTTAAGAAGGCCCTGCTCAGCAGTTTCATACTCGCAGTATTTGCAGTGATGTAGTTTGGGCTCTCGGTCCTTGACAATAAGCTTATCTGATCCGAGCGGACTGGACTCGTGGAAACGCCGAGTGTACTCTGTGTATTCAGGAGAGCGCTCACTGTTGTGGCTCAGCAGTTTGTGGCTCTCCAGGTGATTGTGGAAACTGATTTTCTTGTTGGTTGTAAAGTCACAGTCTGTACACTGATACTTCTTTTTCAGAAGATGATCAGGGTGGTTTTTCATGTGACATTTGAGGAAGCCTCGAGAGCGGAACTTTTTTCCACAAATGTAACAAGGGTAAACAGTCAAAGGCATCCCGTCAGGTCCGATGATAACGGCTACAAAAATGGAAAACAAAATTCAGAAAATGGTACGAGACTATTCAACGTTAGGAATGTGCCACCAGAGGTGGTGGTCAAAAGGCGGTTACATATCTAGACTTAAATAGTAAATAAATAATAAAACTTTGACAAACCAGTGGAAACATGTTGCTGTTGCATAATCCATACCTGTCTGACACTGACGCGTGTCTCCTTTCTTCTTTTTCTTAGGTTTGGGTTTAAGGACTCGATTAGTGTTAAGTCCCTCTCGGATTTGAAGAAAAGGTGTAGTCGTGCCATTTTTAACCTGATCAATGGTGTTAGCTAAAGAAATAACAACACACCATCGTTGCCACTTTAATAGCAAAATAATTTATATCAATATTTTGTATAAATTGTAAATACATACTGATCTCATCTTCGTCATCGTCATCACTGTCATCCTCATCTTCCTCCTCTTCTTTTGGTGGATTTTTAACAGCCATGTAGACCATCTTATCACGGCCAACTCCTAACCGGCCTGATGAGGCGGCCTCCAGGTCAGGATGGCCATTGTGATAATCGTCTTCTGTTATCACCTCTGTCCCCCCTTAAAAATAAACAATCATTATCAACAAACCTATAGTACATCTAAGTTATATTCTTCATAAAAATATTATTATCATTAAATCACTCACCTAAATCATCATCAGCTTCAGCTTTAAAAATATAGACTTTGATGACCTCTGAGCCATCCTCATCTTTGGATTCTTTGTCCTCCAAGACTTCTGTGCTGATTTCAAGAGGAGTGTCACCAATGTCCAGCTTTTCTCCCACCTCATCCACTAAAACAAATTAAATGATTAGATTTTTTGCAACTAAATAATTCTTGAGAGATAGACAATAATCTAACATACAGGAAATCATGAGGTAATCCTCAGAGCTACTTTGTGCATCATCATCTTCATCGGTCTGAAGAGGAACAGCTGTAGTTTGTAACTGTTCGTGGATAATGGTTTCAGCGTTGGCCTCTGTTACCATCAAACCCTCTGACACCAACTGATGATCCAAAGTGTTGTCTTGGTGCTCTGAAAGCAGCTCTGCCACAAACACCTGGTCTGGCATGTCATCATGGTGGCCTGAATCCTGAATAAGGTCTGAAGTTAAGACATGGTGGTGATGTGAGTCCAGAGCCTCCTCAATGGCAACTTCTGTTCCAAGGATGTTGTCAGGCATAATGACACTGTGCTCCGGTGGCCCCATGTCCTCACTGCTCATGTCATGGCTGTCCACCCCCTGTGACTGTAGGCTTTCCACATCCACCTCCAGACTCTCCACCACTTCCGCCTCCAGCCCCTCCACCTCCACTTCCTCCTCCAGCCCCTCCACTACATGAGCCTCCAGCCCCTCCACAACATGAGCCTCCAGCCCGTCCACGTCCACATCAGTGTCCAGACCTTCAACAACATGTGCTTCAAGTCCTTCGACCTCCACCTCTCCCTCCAGGCCCTCCACTACTTGGGCTTCCAGCTCCACTACCTGAGTCTGCAGCCCCTCTACCACACTCGCCTCCAGACCATCGACATCTGTGTGTAAGCTCTCCACGACTTCAGTCTCCAGTCCTTCAACCACTTGTGTCTCTAGGCCCTCCACTTCTAGACCGTGCTCCAGGAGGATGCCCTCGTCAGTCATGACATCAGAGAGAAGCATTCCCTCAGGCACTGACACGACAATGTGCTCACCGTCGATGTGAGCCAGACCCCCCATTCCTGCAACTACAAAAACAAACTATGAAAATAGCCATCAATTATTTAAAATATTTAATTAGAATTGGCACACCATGACGACACATCAAATATTTTTATAGTTATAAACCAGAGGTCGGCAAACTATGGCACAAAACCCACATTGTGTAAAAATACGCAGTGGCACAGGCAACAAAAACAGACTGGTGAACACTTGCTGCTGCAGCTCAGAGCCAAGCTGAATGGCAGTTCTCTTAAGACTGTCAATTGTCATAAGGATGCATGATAAATAGTATGGTGAATGCTGCAAAGTTAAGTTACTTATTTATACAACTAACCGAAGTCTTGCATGATCATAGTATGGGGCATCTTCAACTCTTGTGTGTGTAGCTCCAACACTCCTCCTCCTTGGTCCATGTTTAATACAAAAAAGACTAAAACAAATACTCATATTATAATTTTGTACAAATGCTACAAACAACAAAGTATTAACTTAAACAAACCTTCACATTTGACCTGTTCCTCAGAGGCAGCAGCTGGGTTTTATTCACTTTCCCCCATCAAGTCACCAAATGTTTAAAGTTCTGAGGAAAAAAAACAGATTACAGTCATTATTTCATTACACACTGAAGAAATCAATTAATTAACTCAAAACACTTCTTAATTATTGGTTTGTGCTTAGGACAGTTTCCTAAGAAGGAACCCCGTCAGAGTTGTTGACAGTTGGCTCCATCCATTGCTTTATGGGAGTACTACAGGGAAAGCTTCATAAAGAGGTGCACCTGGAGCTGGTTGGTCTTGATGGCAGGGGCAGACAGGAGAACGCTGTGGTACTCACTTCACAATTAGACAGCCTGTGGAGCTTTTGTGGTGCTGACAAGCAATTGAAATTGAGGGGTATATCTCAGTCGTCTAAAGACTGGTAAATATGCTTAGAGTTAAAATCTGCAGTGGTCGCACTGTGTTGTAAATAGTGATACCTGGATAAGCTGGTCTGAAGCCTCACGTTTACTTTATTCTTAACAATTTGCATGTGACAAAAATCACAGACTGGTTTTAGGTCGCCAGTGAAAAGTACTGCAGACATTATGCAATGCATAAGGCGGCTAACGCCCTCCACCTACAAAAGCTAACTAGCACCATGCTAAAACTGTCCCTCGGCGCCATTTTGTTTTAGCAAAACCGCTAAAACGCATGACGCAAGATATAACATTAATCGGTTTTGGGCAGCTTCTTTTAAACCAATGCAACACTGACAGAGCATTGAAAGTGTGATTTTACAATACAATTTATGATTTAGGCATGAGGTCGACAATGTTCAAACTAAACCTACGATTGACAGTGCTAGCTAGCTTGCTAAGCTAGCTGAAGCTGCTGTGCCGCATTATCTACCATGTTGTTTTTCGAAAAGGCTGAAAGAGGCCCGCTACGGCCGACTGGGCCCTTGTGTCTTAATCAGCATGCTTTTTCTAATAGAACTGAAATATTTTACCTGACAGTGTCGTCTTCTGTTTCTAACGATGTTATTCTTTCTTCTTGGTTTTGTCTGTTATTGTTTTGGTTTATTTTTCACGGTAAGCTAAGTGCGGCCTGCAGTTTTGGATCCCCGGGCGCTCTTTGCTAGGCCTCGGCCAATCAGCTTGCGTCCTGGAGGAGAGGGAGGGCGGGGGAGACAATGCGTGGCCTCGTTTACCGCTGATCCCTTACCATTTGCGTCATGCATAAGAGAACAGAATTACATTATCAGCCATTTTCACTTTCCACATGTGTTTACTTTTTATGTTTTGGTGCAAATATCGCAGGAGGACCTTGTTTCGCACTAATGGTTGTTTTGCTGCCCCATGGTTCAGTAGTGTAGGTTATGAAGGCCTGTAGGCCATTTTGTCACGGGGGGTGTAGCCAATTTTCGCGAGTTGGATCCTCATCCGGAGAGTGGAACTGCGGATAACTAGTGCAATTACACAGAATTTCTGTAGGCCCAAACCACTATTACAAACATTCTCACACACAAATTGTTTCAAGATAAACTTTATTACTACTCAGAGCAGCTGATTTCAAGAGGCACACCACTTGAGGGGTGAATATGTAAGGCAAAGGGCCTTCACAGTTTCTTCTGTATACAGACATCCTAAAATGGAAGCCTTTAAATTCACCTCAGAATTACAGTAAACTTTCTATTGAAATAGAAATTCAGAAATGTAGCTTTCAAACATATTGTACTTTCAAATAAGAACTTTTTCTTGCTGACCTGCACCTTGGCACAAACCCTAAGTTAGTGGGTTAATGGGTAATAAGGGCAGTGTAATTTCAATTAGTCACATAATTTTATGACTATTTTCACAATAAGCATGACTCATTAACAAAATCACACATAATGTGTGGGGAATAGGAAACAGGAAGATTTGTGAAAACATCCACATGATGCAAAGTTAAAGGAATGAAACCTAAACATGCAACACCTTCAAGTAGGAAGTCACACAGAAATTAGACAAATTATCAACTTCATTTTAAAGCAATCTTCATCCGTACAAGTAATAAGAACCTTTACAATCCCAGCACATTGACTTTATACTAAAAAAAAAGTCCAATAGGAAGTTTCAATTGGTCTGTGACAATGTGCCTCACCTACTACACAATATCACTAGAGTGGGTTCACAATGTTTCATGCAAAGGAAATGTGTAAATCTATTGCCCATCTGAAATGAGGGACCAAGAGGTTTAAAGGATGGTTTGACACAGTTTGCTCAAATAAAATTATTAGGGCATTTAAGACAGAATAGATATCCTTCATCAACAGAAACTTAGTAGCAGCCATCTTTCCAGGCTTCATCTGAAATTTTTGTAATACCCATAGACCTGTTAAAACAAATAGTCAGTTACCATCCAGAACATAATTTTACATCGAATCCGTATAATTTATATTAGCCTACATGAAAACCATACCTTCTGGGGTTGTGTGAGAATGTACTTCTTGAGGGTGCTGATGATGCATTTGGTCCTCGACCCATGCCTGTTCTGGTTGTTCCAATAGTGGGTCTTCCAGGAATGTAGGGTCCACCATTTGCAGAGCTTGGGGACTGCACTCTCCGTCCCCCTGCAGCAGGCGGGCCTTGAATTACAGGTAAACCTCTGGAAGAGTGGCTGCCTGACATGGGACCTACTGCTTTAACAGGGGTTCGCAGTGAAAGAGGAGACTGGCCATTGCAGCGAATGCGACCATTTGTCATACCTATGATTAAAGGACATAAAATGGTAATAATGGTGGATTTACTACTACTACTACTACTACTACTACTACTAGTCATCATCATCAATAATAATAATATTGTTGCTACTACTACTAAATAAAGGGCAGAATTTGAATAAAAAAAATCTCAAGGCAACATTTTGCAGAGAATAAATCTCGATAATTTACTGTCACATTTTTCTTATTTCTAACTTTCAGAGTTTTTCTGTCCTATTGTAGCCACAGCTGCCATTGCTCACACTGATGGAAGTGAGGCTGCCAATCTGCACCATTGGCCCCCTCCAACCACCACCATCACTCACACACACATCACTTTCATACTAGGCAATGCAAGTCAAGTGCCTAAGGACACAATGGCAAAACTTAGAACAGAATTGATCCTCCAACTTTCGGGTTGGGGGAATACTGCTCTAACCACTGAGCCACTGTCACCCATTAGACATTTGGCATCATGCAGTAGTAAAATTGAGGTCAGGTGTAGTATAACAATGTACTGGTTTTCATCACAACTGGAGTGGGTGACAAGAGGGTTACCTGTGGAGGGGGGGTTGGAAAGGTGGGACATGCGATTGCCAGAGCTCTGGAGGTTAGCCTCCATGCTACGGCTGTTTCTGACTGCCTCCAGTGAACGAAGGCTAGTGCGGGGAGCCAGATTTGGCATGCTGTGCCTCAACTCTTCTGGAACCACATTATACACCACAAAATATAAAGGTTTTCATAAGAACAGTCATAGGTGTTGGCTATCATAATATCTGACATGTCTGTATTCTAAATCTTATAACTTACCTTCACTTTTGGCAAATTTGAGAAGTTCAGCACTTGGACCCTGAAGAGATCGTCTAGGAGTCCTTGTGCGTGAAGCCCCCAGACGCACATTGTATTCTTGGCCGTGGTTGGAAGTTGAAGGTGACTGGCATCGGGGTGAACTGAGGGGTGAGGGGGTAAATCGATGGTGCCGTGGCGGCAAAGAACAGAATTCATCTTCATCTTCAAGACTGTAACTATCAAACTCCTGGTCACTGTAGTTGCCACATCTGCGCAGTGACTGCAAAGATGTTGTGGAGCTGCGACGTGATGCAGAGGCTGAGCTGGATGCATAGTCTTGCCTTAAACCTAACCAAAATATATTTTTTAATAAAAAAATAAAATGGTCAAACAATATTATTATGGCACATGTTAGTGCCATCATGTAAAATATATACTCACTTTCTTCTTGAAGCCGAGCCATGATCTGAACATCGGTAAGATCTTGCAGCTTATAGCCCATGGAGATGGAGTCGTCTGATGTGCTTAGCTCACTATCAATAGAGGACTGTGAGCTCAAAGCAGAGTGCACGCTTGCGCCTGTTGACAGATTTACACTCAATAGCAAATAAAATAATTTACTATATTATTGAGTATATTATAACTGTGACAATAAGCTGATAATACCATAGACTGTATAAAGAAGTGGACTAAGAGTGTGAGCGTTAGCTCCACTCAAATGAAACTCGCAATGCTAGCGGTTACAGGGGTGAATTTGGAGCCAGGCTCTATATTAGGAATATGATTTTGTTTTTACTGACAAAATAGCAGAAAAAATAAAAAGGATCATGAAGAGCGGGTTAATACGGACATTCTTAGAGCAAAATGATGAGACACACAGCAGCAGTTATGGAGAGAGGGCCGGAAGCATGCAAATTTCTCATTTGGAATGCAGCGGTTGCATGTTAGCTATGTCCATTTATATATACAGTTTATGGATAATATCAATTTAAATCACTCAGGGTCTGCTAATTAAGTAAGACCAAACCATGCAAAAACATTAGCTCTCCAAGGGGCCACCAAAAGCACTTCAGTGCACACACAGACACATAGAGTGACCTACATTCATACAATAGTTGCTGTTCCCACACATGTAAAGGCAAAGAAATGTGTTAATGTCATGCCCTACCTGAATTGCCACTGGTTAGTAGGGATTTGTTAGTTGATTTGTGGTACCCAGGAGAGATCAGGCCTGAGCCAGCAGAGCCCGTCTCTGCTGAAGGGCTGCTGTACATGCTTCTCCACCGAGTAGCTGCAGAACAAGCAGGAAGTGATAGAAAGAGAATTTTAATATGAAGCAATAACACTAAAAATGTTTAATAAATATCTTTTGGTCTTAAAATACATTGAAATAAAGCTGACCTGCATTACTAAACTGTTTCCAGGGCTGCTACCATTAACAAAGGAGAGCTGACCTGGGGGAAGGTAATCCAACCCAGTTCATGACTTCATGGTGTTACTGAACTCTAGTGTGAATAGCTTTGTTGTTGCTGAAGTCATGAGTAGGATAGAAAAGTAAATATTAGCATATGTTCTCAGCAGAAATGTGTCAATTTACATTTCTTAATTTGAATAGGACAGTGCATTCGGAAATAATATACCAGCATGTGCACATGGCTGATTCACCGCCATGGGATAAAGACATTACACAGTACAATAGAATATACAAGTTTAAGCAGCAAAAGAATGCAAGAAAAGATGATGCGAGCAGTTTATAGTATAGTAATACTTGTTTCACAAATGTGGAAAATATTTCCTTTCAAATATTCTTAGAAAACAATGTATAGCTTATATTTTCTCTGATCATTCTTTACTGTTCCATCAGCAGCAGTGTTTTTTGTCCTGTATAAATTTTTGCACCTTTTTTACTTGTCAGTTGCCATGTTTATATGTAACCAGAATATATGTCTCTTGTACAGGAAAAGCATATAGTCTTTGTTTCCTGCCTAGGTAATCAATTATTGGCATTGTGTTTGAAGTGCTTTTAATTTCAATCATGAACTTTTTAAAAAATATATTTTATGTTACACCAACCCAAACTGTGTGAAACTGGCTTTTAGAAACTCTCCCCCTAGTGCTAGTGTCCTAGTTTCTTTCCTTGATTATGATTTTTGCTTCTTACTTTGGTCCAAACGGTTGATGAGAGTCCGACATGCCACTTCAGTGTCTGGGCTGCGATGGTCAAGAACTTGCCGACACCACTTTAATGGAGACTCTGGGCCTGCATCTGCTACCTGCTTTTTGGGGGACACGTACAACCTGTAAGGAAAACACAGCACATGGGTTAGAGATGTGTCAATTCACCATCCAAAAGAAACTGTTATTATAAAATAAA